GGGCCGTCTTTGAGGCGCTCCTTGCCGATGCCGATGTGATAATCGACGGCTATCGGCCGGGCGCCCTTGCTCGTCTCGGCTACAGCCCAGAGGTCCTGTCTGATCTGGCTCAGCGACGCGGCCGCGGCTTCGTGTACGTGGTCGAGGACTGCTTTGGCGGAACGGGCGTGCCAGGAGCCGAGTGGGCCGGCCGGCCGGGGTGGCAGCAGATTGCCGACTGTGTCACTGGCGTGGCGTGGGCGCAAGGTAAATTCATGGGTCTGGCGGAACCCGTGGTGCCGCCGTTCCCCATGTCCGACTACGGAACCGGCGCTCTGGGCGCCGTCGCGGCTATGGCAGGGCTGTACCGACGAGCAACCCAGGGCGGCTCATGGATCTGTCGCACCAGTCTGTGTCAATATGACGTCTTCGTGATGAGTCTGGGCCCCCTGCCAGCGGAAGAGCAGGAGCGTCTGCGCCAGGTGCACGATGCCGACTTCTTTGGGCTCCGGCACAGTGATTCGGTCGACGAGGTGGGCCGGCGGGCGTTGCTGAGCATGAAACGCGTGGCGCCGCATCTGTTCAAGGACGAAATGATGCATACAGCTTGGAGCACGGGATTCGGAGCCGACCTTACTTGGCCTCGCGAGGCCATCAGAGTGAGCGGGCTACGGATCGGGCACGTGCGAGCCGCGAGGCCGAATGGTTTCGATGCTCCTGGCTGGGAGGACTGGGAGGAGGATGAGGAGATAACCCTCTGCGTCGACGGCGATGGTGACGAAGTTGGACCGATGTTGCTTGCTTGCTCTTAGACAGACAAAGAGCGGACGGAGAGGAGAGAGGTCAGCTATGTTAGACATAGATGGGACTGTTTTTTTTTTTTTTTGGATATGGCGTGGCGTTGATGTCGGCTGTTTGCATAAACTGCCCTGCTGTTTTTGCGCGGCATGCAAGGTAGCTTTCGATCTAGTAGTTAGCGCTTTGGTTCAGGTGGGTTTCGATGTTCTCGTATGAACGGACCCCGGCAGCGGCTGTTTGCTTTTTTAGTTATCAACCGAGTTTTCGTTATTCTCATCGCATACACAACCTGGAAGTCTAGAGTATATGCCATGATTGGTGACCTGTTTGCTCGGTGCTCGAATCTTGAAAGAAGTCTCTAATCGTCCCCAAAGACTGGGCGGGTATGGTATAGACAATGCTGGAGGTACACATATGTATATCTGATGTATTATACAGCATGGGGGTATACCGATGCTTCCTCACTCACTCACGACCTCATCGCATTCGGCCTCAGCAGAAGCAAACGATCCATCGCGCGCCCGTCATCCAGCGCCCAGCCACTCGACACGTCGATCTTGTACTCCTGTCCCTTGAGCTTCATCTTGGCAAAGCCATCCCTATTAAAAGCGCGGGTGACGCCCTGGTAGATGACCTTGAGGGCCTTGCCCATGTCGCGGAACGGCACCGTCATGCGGTGGTTCGCGAGCTCCTCCTGCCGGGCTTTGATGCGGGCCTGCTTCTCGGCGCGCTGGGCGATCTGCGCCTTGAGGCCGGCCGACTGCGCCAGCTGGCCCGCGTTGGTCTGACCGCTGAGCACGCCCTGCATGCGGAACGGCATCAGCACGTCCTCGGGCAGGTAGAGCTGGCGCCGGGGCGGCAGGAAGGGCAGCACGCGCGAGCTGGCCACCTCGATGTACAGCGGGATCGGCGGGTGGCGGCTCCCGGGCAGGTACCCCTTGGGGTGGGTCCGGGCCAGCGCGGCGGGCACGGCCTCGATGGTGCGCACGATGCGCCGCGTGCCCAGCACAAAGTAGGCGCCCATGCTGCCCATGAACAGGCAGATGATGCCAAACGCGTGCGGCACCCAGCTGTACAGCCCCTCGGGCGGGTGCAGGTACACGGACCAGTACTGGTAGACCGTGTACGAGACGCAGAAGGCCCCGCTGGTGAAGCTGGCCACGCGGAACCAGAGGTGCGACGGCGCCTCGTACAGGAGCGTCCTGCCCTTTGCCGCGAGCTGGTCCGCGTACGAGGGTGGTGCGCGCGGGAGCCCGCCGGCGGGAGAGGAGGCGGCCGGTTTCGGCTTCGGTGTCGCAGTCTTGGTCTTGGACTTTGGGAGAGGGGCGGCGGGTTTGGAGACTGCTGCGCGGCGGGGTGGTGTGGTTTGGAAGAGGCGCCGTGTCGAGGGCGGGAGGCGTACCACGCGCGAGAGGGTTGTTTGAGAGCTTGATGATACAGATGCTGATGTGCACCTGCACGGCGCTTGCTGCACCAGCAGGAGGAGCCGGGACCCCAGGTGGGTGGATAGGGACGCCATCGTGTTGACTTTGTCCTGTTCGTTTTTGTTTGGATTTGGACGGCCGGAGGCGGAGAGGGTCGGTCGTTCGTTCGTTCGTTCGGGTGGGTTCAATGGCCTCGACAGGGATCAACTGCCCGTTGACGGGAGATTTCCAGGTTCCGAGTCTCTGGACTAAATTTCGAGCCTGTTCGGTGTCGGCGCAATGTTTGCGCGATGGCCTGCGATGCAGCAGTGGAGAGCTTCTTCAACAGCAGCTCCCCTTGTGAAAAAGAGTGCCTGGATTGCTTGGCGCGGAAGCTCTAATCACGCTAAAAGCGATTGACAGACAGCGAGACAGGGACAAGCTTAACTCCGTAGCGCGGATCAGTCCCATTGGGGAACGGAATCCTTGTTCGGATTGGCCAATAAGTGACCCAAGCTTTTTTTTTGTCGGGCGGCGGACTCCGAATTCCCAACCATTCTCCAACTCTACGAGGAGCTCAGCACGGTCAGCTCAAATCCAACTCGACTCCAATTGATTTTGCCAGTTTCCCATCCCCGACTTCCGATTTCCGGCATCCAACCACACCTCCAAGGCCAATTGGCCCCGACATCACCACCACCACCACCACTGCCACCACCGCCCAACAACACCTCCGCCATGGCATCCTTTGTAGCGGTTTGCCGTGTCTCATCGAGGCTGGCCGGGAGGAGGTTGCGTCGGGATGCCGCCGTCCGAGGTTCGTCAAGATGAACTAACTCACTCACTCGTTGAACCCCAACGACGGAAAAAGTCGCGCGCTGACCAGCTTCTGCCCACCACCACCACAGGCTTCCAGACATCGGTCGCCACCCGCGCCGCGCAGAACTTCACCATGCCCGCCCTGTCCCCGACCATGACCGAGGGCAACATTGCGACATGGCAGGTCAAGGAGGGCGACAAGTTCGTTGCCGGCGACGTACTGCTGGAGATCGAGACCGACAAGGCCACCATGGACGTCGAGGCCCAGGAGGACGGAGTCATGATGAAGATCATGCAGGGCGACGGCAGCAAAGGCGTCAACGTCGGCGCGCGGATAGCCGTCATTGCTGAGGAGGGCGACGATATCAGCGCCCTCGAGATCCCCGCCGACGGAAATGCCCAAGCAAGCGCCCCCGAGCCGACAAAGTCCGAGTCCTCGACCGCCTCTGAGCCCCCATCCGCCGAGTCCGCATCTACATCCCCGAAGGCCCCATCCAAGTCCGGAGCCAAGGCGCCAAAGCAGACGTACCCCTTGTACCCTTCCGTCGTCCATTTATTTAAGGTTAACGGCCTGGACGAGTCGGTCGTCCGCGAAATTACCCCCACGGGACCCAACGGCCGGCTCCTCAAGGGCGACGTGCTCGCATATCTCGGCCAGATCAACGCCAAGACACCTGCAGATGTCGAGTCGAGGTTCGAACACGCCTCGCACCTCGACCTCAGCAACATCAAGGTCGCGAAGGCGCCCGAGGCCAAGAAGCCCGAGAAGGTCGCCGCCCCTGCGCCCGCTCCTCCCCAGGACTCCCGCGTAACGGTTCCCATCTCGCTAGCGGCCGTCCTCGAAGTGCAGAAGAAGATCCACAAGACCCTAGGCGTCTTCCTGCCCCTCTCGACCTTCATCGCCCGGGCCACCGATCTCGCAAACGACGAGCTGCCGCTCCCCGCCGGCACCCAGCCCACCGCCGACGAGCTCTTCAACCAGGTCTTGGGCCTGGACAAGATCGGACCCAAGGGCTCGCGCGGCTCCTACTCCCCCCAGGTCGCTGCGCTCCCCCCGACCTCGTTCCTGGGCTCGCGTCCTGCCGCCAAGAAGGCCGATATCTTTGACATCCTCGCCGCCCCTCGCCACGCCGCCACCCCCAAGCCTGCGAGCGCCGCCGGCCCTAGCGCATCGACCACCGGACCTAACGTGTTCAGCGTGCTCGTGCCCAAGAAGGAGGAGAAGAGGGCCCAGGTCTTCCTGGAGAGGGTCAAGCTTGTCCTGGAGAAGGACCCCGGCAGGCTGGTGCTCTGAACACGGGGGAGGGTGGGAAGAGAAATACCGAGATGATTAGATTACGACTGGACCTGTACCAAATACACCCCTTAGAATTGATTACTTCTTTTCTTTTCTTTTTCTTTTTCTTTTGCCACTCTAGGCCGGGCTGGCTGTGATGGGGTATCTGGGTGGTGAGTCTGTGTAGAGTGAGCATGCGCACATTGGCTGCTAGTTTGTCTCGTTGCCGGCGGTGCTTTTGTTTATTTTGGATTGCATGTTGAGGCACAGGAAGGAGAGGATGAGATAATGAGGCAATATCGGGAGAACCTGGAAGCTGCAGGCACAGGCTCTTTGTAGCAAAGAGGGCCAACCATGGCGCTTCCATGTCTTGAGCTGGCTGAGTACACACTCGGACAAGGATCTGCAAACAGATGACGCAATTGCCACATGAAATTCAAGCCGGCAATGAGGTTTCTGTATTCTTGAAAGTAAAGTAGTATTGGTTTGTGCCCGTATCTGTCCTTGGTCTCGCACCGGGGTGTCGGCTCTCTCGAGTTAAGTTGACAAACTATCCCACCCAAGCAATAAAGCTGTTCGTCCTGATTTGTCAAGACCGACCAAACGAACTCTGTTCGCCAAGAGGGGAAGGAAAGTTTGATAAATGTTTATTTTCAGAACAAAAAAGCAATAAAAAGGAAACGAATAATATTGGTCAACGAACGGCAAGCAAAAAATGTATGTATCTCTCCCGCCGGGAATTGAACCCGGGTCCCGAGCGTTATCGGAGATATGATCTGCTGATTTCTCAGACAGGATATTTCAAATGACAAGCTCATATACTGACCACTATACTACGGAAGAAGTGTGGATGTTTCTTGTGATTGCATCCACCGTAGCTGTTGTTCGCTTGGGTTTCTGGGCTGCAGGCCTGGGATATATACACACGTACAGGTATTCTGAGATCAGACAGTAGACAGGTATCCATCCATGGATAAGCTGGTGTGCACTGGGCTGGTAGTTGGATCGGCGACGATTGTGGGTTGGGTTGGGTGGGTGGACCCCAGGTGGACGAGTGACTGAGTGAGTGAGCATGTTCATTGTATGAAGGTAAAGTTTGTCTGTTCTTGGTGGGCAAATCAACTGAGTCTCTCTACCTAGTTTTACTTGGACGCAAGTGTGAATCAGTGTCGGCAAAGGCTACTTGATCCTACGGAGGCATTACGCGCCTGGCTCTGTGGAGGAAATGGGTAGGACCTTTGCTATGGCTTTGAGGCTGTGTTGTTTATGTCCCTGAGAATAAGAACGCTTTGCTGATAGACCGGCATGATTGTCAGTCTGTTGGTCTTTTTGTCTGTCGAGGAGACGGGAATTCGCCGTTGGGGGAGATCCAAGGTGCAGAAAGTCGTGAGCTCAGACGAGATGCCGACAATCCTTGCTTCGCGGTTTGGGAATGAAAGGTTTGCAGAATCGTGCATGGTATGAGTTGTGTGGAAACATGCCTATGACGCAAAGATCAAGCAGAGACACAGCGGCTGTGTCCGCGGAAAGCCAGTCTTCGTGAAAACCTCTGTTCTCTATGTTGTCAAAATAGAAGTTCAGCTCAGGGGTAGCCAAGTCAGCCTATCCGCATGGTACTGCGCCTACCCTACCGTGCCCAGTGCGCTCAACAAACCACACTCGTCATCCGATACATGGGATGGAAATAAGGCCTATGACCGATGCGGGTGCTGGTACTTACAGCCCAGCCCTACCGGCTAGCCATCTGCCTGCCAGCGGTCTAACGGCTTGCAAAAACGTGGCCCTGAGCCCCTCAGGGGCAATATAAACACGGGAATAAGCACCTAGAACAAAACAGACCATTCCGGGATTGTGCACCCGGACAGCTGTACCACAGCAGCGGGAAGAAAGGAGTTCAGTACGTGTACACTACTGACCGTATGTCGACCAACCAGACCGGGTTGCTCCTGGAAACTGAGTAGGATGCTGGTGGTTGATGTACGGTAAGGACTCCCAACCTACATGGTGCCCAGGGGCTTGGGTTGGAGCACGTCTGCGCCTGCATATCAACGGCGCCCTGCCGCACCCGAGATATGTAGCGTAGTTTACACTGTACATGGAACGGTAGGGATCGCCTCTGTATAAACGGGGCTTCATACGCGGGAGCAAGGGGGGTGAGCTACACTAACTAGGGCATAACCAAGTTCGACGGCCGGGTTGAATGCGGCTGTTTGCTAAGCCTTTTCTTGATCCTAGGTCAACCTTAGGTTGGTTTTCTTCTTAGCCATGCTTGTAAAGCCATGACAGGTCCGTGAGTATGTTAATATTGATACAAGTTGTCCATGGATATCTCTCCACAGAAAAGAAGGAAAGCCATCTGGTCTAAGTTCAAGATCAGCAGAACTAGCACTCGCTTTGGAGCTCTTTTTGACCAAGTGTATGGTGTCCCAACCAGCACCGAGGTATCGGGTTTCTGAATGGCTCCGTGATAGCCACGACGACCCTGTTTTGTGCATCCTTCGAACCACGAGGTTCCAAGTCTCATTGTCTTTCCCCTCTCAGCCCTCGTGGCCTGAACAGCCGTGCAACTACGACCTGTGACCCACGAGATCGACACGAGGTGTCCAGGAAATCCCATCATGGGGTGGCAGTTTTGGTGTTTCTCCAGGAACACTCTTGGCTGTGCCTTCCAAGGGTGATGCACTCGGAGCTGGCATCTTTCTGCCTAATATATCCCTGCTTAGTATCCTTTCTTCAAGTAGTGTGTCTTCTCAATGCTTGTTCGAGATATCGGCATTAGATTCATGGGATTGGAACCTGCCACAGCGTTTTCCGTTTTTCAGGGCAGATCAAGGAAGGTTTTCACCAAGTACCATGGGACTCGTCCGTACCAGTCGAGCACCACCTCGTGGATAGGAAATCAAAGGCAAAAGAAACAGTGCCAGGACCCCAAGTGCCGCAGCCTACTCGGTGGGGGTGGCAGAGACATCCAGGTACAGTATTACTTTTCGGAGCACTCGGGTCTGAAGATATCCAGGCGGGCCAGGCCACGCTGTAGACCGACAGGGATTCAGGAATGGGGTTGAGAAAGGCTGAACAAGTACCCTATTGAGCGTGCAGTTCTTGAGAATGGCCCCAAATCGCTGCCCGGTTTCTCGAAGGCCGTACGCTGTCCACTCACAGTATATGTGGTGGACTTTGAACGGCCACAGGTCCAAGGGGCCTTGGAAAGCAAAGTATTGTTGAAAGGTGGCCGAAGGATTTGGGTACTGCTTCATGTTTTGATTGAAAGGTAGGGGATGGCGGGGCGCCCTTCGAATTTAACCCGGAGTCCGAGCAGGCGAGTCAGATCGAGCTACCCGCTGATGAGGAACGCTCTCCAGGTGGCAGCTTAGGCGGTCGCGAGGCGCGTGTTTGCATACACAGCTGTAGAAGTCTTGTGCCTTGCAGGGCTGAAGCCTCGGTAGCAACTCGTCGTCGTGGACACAAAATGATCCAAATATGTCAATAGGCAACCACAATTGATGGAAGAACAGAGGAGAGACATGATGCACTCAAATCCATCGCTCCTCTCCGAATCGTACGACTCGGAGACGGTCAACGACAAAGCGAGCGTGTCGGATAACGGCAAAGCTCAAGGGATTTGGTGGCCCAAGGCATTCTCACCGATATGAACGGGAAGCTGTCTCCTTGCTCTACCACCATACTTCGGTATTCGGGGAGCCGCGTGCGGGAGGTCGAGCGAAGTGTGGAAATGTCGATGCAATGCCGGTACGGCTGGTGAATAATGAACGCAGTTGCGTCGAGCAACGGGACCTGACACTGCATAAATCTCTTTGTTTGGTGTTGCACAGTACACGTTCCCGTTCACTAGGGAGCTGCAGGTTTGGGGTACATCGTGGCCAAGAACCGTGCATGGTACAGTAGCTGCTAGCGTCTGGCTTCATACCAGTGCCTCGCGGCTGATTTAACTCGCCGCTTCCCGAGGGCCCCGATCTACGGGCCCAATTGAAATCGACGCCATCCTCTCAGCCGAGGAAGCAGCTGGAGGGGCTCAAGAAGTGGAAAGGATCCCTTCAGGTCTTGGTCTTGTATCTAGCGCGAGGCCGAAGGCGCGAGGTTTCTTTCCAGCCTGGGCGGGGAGCACTGGGGAGGTATGGTAGGTGCTGAGACAGTGCATCGACGAGGCGCCTGCGGCTGTTGATCATGACGATGGCAATGGTGGTGGAGAAATGAGGTGGGAGTAGAGGGAGTAGAGGGAGTAGAGGGAGTAGAGGGAGTAGAGGGAGTAGAGGGAGTAGAGGGAGTAGAGGGAGTAGAGGGAGTGGACGAGGTTTGATTTCAAAGCCTCTCCACGAAGATAGGAAGGTAGATCAATGCCCTGCAGGGCTCCATCCGGCAATGAGTCAAACAACGGACGACTTCTGTGCCAGTTATTGACTTTGATATTACAGGACGAACAGGATACAGGCGAGGGACAAGATACCGGTAACAGAAGGTTGGGCTGAGGGACCTGGACTGGGTCCAAGTTGACATGCATGGCCCGCACCTCACCGCTCAACCGCCAATCTGAATCACTCCCCACCTTGTCATGTACCGTACCTTGGTAGACCCCACTTGTGTCAGGCAAGGAACCTTTCTCGCCTGGCAGCTGGCAGACGCATCCAAGTCCCCTCACAAGGCTGGCTCCGCTTCTGGGGAAGCACTGAACGGCGCGATGTTACCCATACCTTCCTTCCACTTGTGCTCAAGTAGAAGGTATTTTTGTGACCTGGTGGTCTGTGAATCGTCTTGAGATTTGACTACTATTTTTTCCAGGATATTTACTGTCTTTGAGTTATCATGCGTCAAAGCAGCAACGTACATTGCAGACATGTGCACAATACTCACCCCTCAGCTAAACCATCAGGTGAGGCAGGTACAATACACCACAGCACATATCAATAGGTAAGGTGCCACGTGGGTGCCCACTAGGCTCCAAGCCGCTTCGTCCATCCAATTCTCCAAGTGTCGAGGTCCAGTTTCCCGCCAGCTTTTGATCTTGAATGTTTCGGTCATTTCGTCTTTTGACCTTTCTCGCGAGACTCAGCGCGGCACCGCTCAGCTCTGGCACAAGAACAATCCTCATCAATAAGACCCTTGGGGATCTCTTCATGAGGCGGTGGCTTGAGGTCTTGCAAGCCATGCAAGACAATCTCGCTCGCGAGTCGCGCTCGCCAAGGGTTTCCTTGCCTGTTTCCTGCCGAAGGGTGTACGTAGTGTAGTATGACTGCGTTGGTGGCGGGGGCGGGTCATCTGCATCGCGTTACTTCCTGCGCAGGGTTCTGGCATTCATTTTGAGTGCTCACTGCTCACTAGGTTCATGGAACCCTAGACTGTGTTGGTGATCGATGCGCTCACTGTCTTGAACTGCAGCCTAACCCGTATGAGCGATAGCATACCTGCCATTCTGCCTTTCCAATACCAATACCAGTGCCCTAGCGCTCTCGAAACCTGAGGGATCGGGGAGGAGACGGAGCAGCTGCCCTTTCAAGCGTCTAGGCGCCGTCAGCACTCCGCATGTTTAACGACGCTTGGAAATCCTGGAAGTTCCTTGCTTAGCCGCGCTGGCTGGGGGGGGGGGGGTGGTTCGGGCTCGGGCTCTCATGGCACCGTCTGCCGGGACCTTTCACGCTCACGGCCTTTCCCCTATCTTATGTTCGTCTGCGGCATTGAATCTACACGTACCCACATGTTTGGTTTCCCGCGTTCGAAAGCGGCGGGACTCGACCTGGCCCTGGATTTGTACCTTGGACCTGCTCCCGCCATGCCCACGCCCCCTTGCCCCCCTGGCCATGGCGGGACTGTGGTACTCGACCGCTGTC